ATGTATCTGTGTGTTTATGTGTCCATTTAGTTTTCTTCGAATCAATTTGCGTTGGTTTCAATTGTGCCGAGCCAATAATAATTGACACAAATATCTGGCACGGGCAAAGAAGGCCGCATGAAATATTCAAAACTGTCTGACAGTGTTTTTCTGCATTATTTATTGGATCAGAAGATTTTAGACATTATCCCATCCCGACCGCAAACTCATCTAGAATGACGTTTGCCTTTCTTTTGGACAGTTTAAAAACTGTTCACATGCGATCAGCAGTTTCTTACCAATGGCTTCTCAACTGTGCTGCTGTGCGGTAATCCAATTGGCTCAAGTTAAATCGCTTGGGGGAGCTGGAAATTAAATTTAGCTAATGTTTATTTCGTTTAATTAGACAACTACAAGGCAAATAGAATATTTATGTATACACCAGCCGCCATACACTGACGCAGAAATTCACGGCAACAACAACATTTAAGATTGTATACTATGTATTTTTTCTGTTGCTTTCAACATACTTGAAAACGTTAAACAAGTGTTTTGTTAATGTTTGTTTGCTTAAATCTTTAATGTGTATTGCCAGAAAAAGCCAAAATTAACAAAAAACAAAAAGAAACCAAGAAAACACAAATCAATTAAATTTTTATCAAGTTCTTGAGTCTTAATACATTTACAGTTAAAAGACAGCTCTAGTTGTCAGCGTTTGCAATACTCAAATAGTTAAGATTAAAGATTAAACCTAAATGCAGCCTTCATTATATATATTTTATATATTTTAAAATGTTTAACTTAAAAAGCTTTACGTATAGAAAAGCCATGTGAAAAGTTAGCAAATACTTCAAGTTCGAACAATAATCCAAATGTAGCCTTTAAGATAGTTTTAAAATTTTAACTTTAGAAAAGCAGCTAATTTTTATAACAAACATTTCTACTTCTCAAACTTTGTTGTGCAAACTTAATTTTCTAGCCAAATTTGGGAGAAAACTAGCTAAATTGGCAGCACTAGTTGTTGTTGCTGTGGCCAAAAACTACAAAACTTTTATGCACACACACACACACGGACATGAAACCGCCGTTAGTAAGCGAGAGAGGGGAGAGATGGTGCAGTGTGTTGAGAGCAGACGCTCAGACGAATAGTCATATTCATTTTGGTTGCTTTTGCTAATTTTAAAATAGACAAACAATTTTTTATTTCAATTTACAGCAGCCAGTCGCACACAGTCATACAAACACACGCATACATGTGTATGCATACATATACTCGCGCTCGCTCACTGCCCGGACACATGATTCGACGTAGCCGTCGGCGTTGCCGTCGCAGCCGCAGTCGCAGTCGCAGTCAGCGCATCAGAATCTCAACCCGTTTTCAAACAATTTTGTTTGTTTTAGCGAGTAACTCGGTTGCGTATTTAAATATTTATATACATATGTGCCTCCTATTTATAAATCTCTCTGTCCGCCTGTCGGTCTGTCTGTTTGTGATAAGCATGATTATTATAATGGTTAGTTAGCACATTTTTATTATGTTCCTTTGCCGGGCGCCCATTAACAGCGTCGCGGCACAGTGCATTAACAGAGTGCTGTCTTTCTATGTTCCGCTACGGCAAAACGCAGCACCCGTTCGCTCCTCACTCTCTGTCTGTTTCTATCTATCGCTCCCTGTTTATTTGCATTTGCCTTATAATTCGTATTTGTTTTGCAACTGTTGCAGTTGTTGTTGTTTGATGAGAATTGCTTTATTTTCTGCCCCTTTGTCAATTGTTGCGAATTGTTTTTGGATTTAATTGGCATGTTTCGTGCAATTTACTTAATGAATTTCACGTTGTGCGTTCAGGGACCGATGAACTCGTTCAATTTGTCAATTTTGTGTGTGTATGTATGTATGCAATTTTGCATGTGTGTGCCGTATTGTGTGTGAAAGTCACATGAAATCAATACAAAGCGTTTTCTGTAGTCAGTTGTGTTGCTGTATAATTAGAAGTAATGTCGACTCTTGTACAGGATATTCAAAGCCGGGTTAATGTTTTTACATCCTTAACAGTCATGCAATTTGACTTGCAATTATTTCAATTATACATAAACATGCATATATAGTATATAAAAATGTATATAAGTACATACATACATATGTATATGAATTTTTAATTCATTTAATTTCACATTTGTTTTTATTTTATTTTGGCCAACCTTAAACCCGCGCAAAATGGCGCTCATTAGTGTCCTCAAAAGTCATTTACGAAATGACTCTCAAACTGTGTGTGCTTTCACGTGCACGACGACTGCCAAAAATAACAGCACACACACACGCACAGTTGCCCACAGACAATCGTACACACACACGCATAGGTACATAATATAGGCGCAATCAATTTTGTTTCGTGTTAATTAATTTTGTTATATGTATGTTTCTTGTTTCATCTTTTGCCTGTAGAAAATTCTCTGTATAAGCGCACTTTGTGTTCGTTGTTGCGGTTACTTTTTTTTCAGTTTTAGTTTTAGTTTTTGCAAATTCTCTCTGTAAGTATTTTAATTGCCTTCGGCAATAACATTTTCTAGTGAAACAAAAACATGAGACGATTCGTAGCACTGTACTGTAGCTTAATGCGTTCATTAAAAAATAATAAAACCTAAACGAAAAATTAAAATGTAATGAGCGTTAGCAACACACACATATTCATACGTACCCATCCATCTATCTACATACATATATGTATACACTCATACAAACATTATGCGGACGAATGCCAATAACAATATGTCACGAGTCCGCTATTCATATAGTGCGTTGGATGTAGGATAGAGAGGGGGATGTAGTGTGAATGCATGTGAGTATGGCTGGGAGTGTGCTGGCAGCCATAAATTTGATTAAATAAAGTTTTAGTTGGCGCTTGCTTTTGCATGCTCTTTCTTCTATTTGGCACAAGGAATGCGACAAAAACTATGCTACATGAACAAGCAATAAACCATAAATTTCTTGTCACCAACAACAACAGCAGCAGGCGTAGCGGTTAAACATTTGTGTAAACGAGACAAAGAGAGAACGCGCGTGCGAGAGTGTGTGGTGAGAGTAAAAGAATGTTAAGGTGTGTTATACGCGCACGTGTGTAGGTGTGTGTGTGTGTGTGTGTTGATGTTGATGTTGTATAAATTTATAATACTTTTCGACTGGGTTGTCGCCTTCCATTCTGTCCTATGCTGCAATATGCTCTCTGTATGTAAATGCAAAGCTTGTGCGTGTGCGTGTGCTTGTGTGCTTATGCTATCCAAAGTGACAGCAACAGACGAAAATGCTTGCAAGCAGTGAAAGAGAGATGGGGCGACATCTTGTTGCTTGTAAATGAAATTGCGTTGTCTGCAATCTTTTTGCGCTTAATTTGCTGTAAAAGTGTCAGCTGAAAAGGGAAGGCAAATACTACGCGCGCATACTTAAGTACGTAAACGTGTGTTTGTATGTGTGCGAGTGTGCCTAATCACTCTGTGTGAAACAAATAAAGACTATGTCCGTTGACTTGTTAAAACAGCTGATAAGATTGCGGCTTTATCTATACGCAAACAGCAATCAAAAAATATTGTATATTGTACATTCTTTGTTAAGAGCCTATATATTTATTGCCATGTTAGCTTTTTGCTTATTTCAAGTTATCAAGAGTACTTGTTACTTGTTACCTACCGTCCAGTGATAAGCGCAGATAACATTCTCTCGAAAAAAAAAAAAGAAAACGGCACATGGCCATTCGACCAGCGGTATATGTATATGTATGGACATGGCCATGGCTTGAGAATATTTAGTTTAAACTCGACATTACTGACGTCACTGTTGACGCCGTCACCCAGTGTCACACACACGCTAAAACATACATATACATATATTTATACATATATCTGCATACATACATGGGCACCTGACTGAATGACGAAATCGATTTTAATCTCTCTACGATGTTAAATTTGAACGAGTTGTGTTCGCAACCGGCGTAATGGCAGAATCTCAAATTCATGTGGTTAGAAGAATATAACTAAGTATGAATATATAAGTATTAGTATGAATATATAAGTAACTATGTATTCTTACAATAATGCCTCGATATTTATGGATCCATGTTATATGTGAACTCTCCTATAATATAATAATTTTTAAATATTATTCAATTAAACATATTTAGGGCTTCTCTATAATAGTGTTTTATTATACATTTTATTTACTATATTGAATATTAATAACTTGTAATACAGCAAAATACAAGTTAAGCAACTCTATATAACTATCCCAAATAAATAATTTTTTAGCTCACCTCAGAGTTTTACCCGCAACATTATCGATTAGCCTTAATGCTTATCGATAACTTTTAATTGTTGACGTATCAATCTGTACATTTTATATAAAAAAGTAAAAATACAAAAAACAAGGACCATTAACACCCTGTGGTCTTAATTATAGCACTTACACACCACATTTATAATTTGAATTAGCTTTAATTTGACTTTTTGGTTATTCAGTTCGATAATCGTTTTTTTGTGTGCATTTATTTTGTATATATCTTTTATGTGTATATGTAAGTAGGATTTACGACACATTTAGTATAAATAAATTGATATACATACATATTTTTGCAACTTGGCGCTGAAATCAAATAATCTGAAAACTGGAAACACACAAAAAGAAGAAAACGAAAAACAAGCAAACAAATCTAACCGATAAAATAATACACAGACAATCAATCGATCGACTCGAAATGGATCGGATCGTACACACATCTGCTATAGTAGCCATATATTTTATGGAGTGTAAAAAGACTAATTAAATAAAAAAACGTTTATATTTTATGTTGTTGTTAATTGTTAATGTTTTCTTGATTTCCAATGATGTTTCTCCTTTCCCATTGCCCCATTCAACCTGCTCTTTTTGCTATCGATATATCGATTTGTTGTAACCTTCTTGCTGTGTGTGCTCTTTATATATACGTATATATAATATATATTATATATGTATATGCATATTTGTGGATTAAATTGGTCGTAATGCAGCGAGCATCATTGAGAACGATAGCGATGAATCATCGGAGTTTGCACTGGCAACCTCGCCGATCGTTTACTATGGCGACGCGATTGTCAATATCGGTGAGCCATTTTCGATAACGTGCGTCATACCGATAACTGAGCGGATACACTGGCTAAAGAACGGGGAGTCGATAACGCGCCACAATTTGCGGCACGGCCACGACGAGCACTCCTATACACTGTCGGAGAGCGCCATCGAAGGTGAGTATTTATTGATGATTGACGATTGACGATTGATGAAGAACGAGCAGCAATCAATCAATCAATCAACTGCAGGCGAGAAGCACAAGATCGAGGCCCATCTGAAGGTGCGGCACGCCCTGAAGGTGCACGAGGGCCGTTATCAGTGCAACAACAACAAAAATCATCGTCGCGACAGCGGCTTTCACATGCTGCACGTGCACAACAAGCAGCAACAATCGGAGACGCCGACGGAGAGCGGTTATCGAACTATCGATGAGCTGACGCCCAGCTCGGCCGATGAGATATTTACGCGCACATGGCAGGAGCAGCAGCAGCCGCAACGGGGCTCGGAATCGCCGTCCCTATCCTCCGCCAAGCAGCACAATCAGCAACAAGGCAATGCCACAGGCCACGGCTTTGGCTTTGGCTATGGCAGCTACGAGCCGCAGCAGCCGGCGACAACGCGTAGATACAACGAATTGAGCACGTGGCATGCCGCAACAACAACAGGTGACGGCGGCCAGGCTGGTGTTAATGGCATTCATCGCATTTATTCAGCCACGCCGCCAGATTTTCCACCACCCCGCCTCAGTCTGCTGGAGCATACGGTGGCGCCACCCGAACCGCCCACCATACAGCTGTACAATCAAACGATGCCGATTTATCGAACGGCAATCGACACTGCCACAGCGCATCATCGAGCGCAGCATCACCAGCAACAGCAACAACAACAGCAACTAAACAATTTTCAACTGCCGCTGCCGCCGCAGCCAATGCAACCTACACAGCATCATAATGAGAAATATCAAACATATTCACCGCAATTTGTGCCGCCTGCAGTGGGCGGCGGCGGTGTTGGTGTTACCGTTGCAACGGTGCCCACAGTGCACACAGCGCTAACAACCAGCTACAGCAACAACATCGGTTTAGTGCAGCAGCCCAAGACGTTCTTGCCTATTAAGAAGGGTGAGCCACATACACACATACACTCACTCGCATTCACACTCACACACACGCACAAGAACATAATTGAAACCACATGAAATGACATCTCACTCATACATTCAAAGCAAAACTCACTCAAAATTTCCATACACACATAGGCTCGGTCAATTAAACGTTAATACGCACATAAATACATGCATATTCAAGCTGTGCCGCAATTAGATCGATTCTAAACTGAAAACTTTAATTACAGTTTATTGCGCTTAAGAATGATAGCGTGACAAAGCGTTAAATATAATTGTTAATTCGATTTGCAAAGTGTCAAATTATATAGTTTATCAATCAAGCGCAAAATGAATTTCATGCCGATAACCTTAAGTGCTCAACAAGCTCTCAAATCTTAATTGATATTAATTTTTATGTGTATAAATACAAAGTGCTCCAGTTAATTATTAAAATGAAAATCAATTTGAAGCTCATCAAAAGATTTTGCAATCGTGCAGTGCTATCAGAACCACTGTATCCATTGAGTGAACTGAACGGACTCACAAGTGCAGCAACTCTGCTATACAAACAAAACAAAAACATTTCACTCAGTCTCATTTGCGTCTCTATACAACAGTTAATGCATTTCACTCATCGTGTTCATCGTCAAAACTCACTTTCGTCCAATTCCAATTCCTTAATGTTTTTTTTTATCGTCTAAGCCTCGCTCTTTTGCTCGTATTCTCGCTCGCTATACGCTCTCCACGCTCTCGCTCTCCCGCTCTCCTACAATCGTTATCAGCGCACGTCAACATTGCTCAAACTCCCTCATCGTTTAGTCTATTTTTGGTGTTGTTAATCGTTAATCGTTCGCTAGTGCTCTTAGGCTTTGACTATTCGTCGATAGTTAAGCTCGTTCGCCTTCACACACAAACACACACACACATACACAAACTCGCATACACACATGAAACACAGGCAAATCTTTAAGTGGAGCTTCTTTTATTCCTTTTTGTTGCTTGATATATTTCTTTTTACTCTTACTGCAACATTTTGTTTTGATTTGTATGTGTGTGTCGCTATTGTTGTTGTCATTGTTGTTGTATTTATAAATATACGTATTAATATATATTTTACTCGATTTATTTCAGTTGTTTACCGTTGCTTTTGAATCACACGACTGTCAGGTGCACAGCGCCTCGCTGACCCCTTTTCTCCCTCTTTGTCTCTCTCACACTCAGTCGGTCTCTCCTCTATTTCTCTCTATCTGCGGCTCTTCAATTTGATTGATTGGCAGCCATTTTGTTTGACGCATATTAAATCCATGTGTAATTCAGAATTGGCGCTCAGTCGCTTGATAAGCATTGTTGCTTTGCCCCCAATGACTGTGTTTGTAACCGCGGCTTAATGTTTATTGCCTTTGTTTCATTTATTCTTTCGTTTGCGTATACTTTGTGTTCTTGTTTTTGGTTTTGATTTCGCTTTTGTTTTTGCTTTTCGTATGGCGATAAGGACAAGGCTATAATACATGAATATGTATTGTATCTGTGTCATGTTATGTGGGCTAATGTTTATCGATTATCAGTTATCGACTATTTAGCTGTTGCTTTAGTTTTAGCTTGACTTTGCTTATCGCATAACTCGATAACTATAAATAACATTTAGTACTTAAATATCAAAAACGATTATTGCTCCATTTGCAGCTAATTTAAAAATTAAATTTAAATGATGGAATTAAACGAATTATAACATTATTGCATTTTACATATATATATTTATATATAAATATATGTCATGCAAATCAAATTTATTTGATTTCAGTCCAAGTTAAAAATATCTATACTAAAAAAATATATATATACATATTTATATTATATAAATATATATATATCATTCAAATAAATATTTAACTTTACATATGTATGTTTAGGTAAAATAAAATACGAAAATTAATAAAAATATTTTTTATTTTTTTTTAGTTAGTTTTAGAGTTGTTTTTCTTTGAATTGGGGGTTTTTTATATGGGCGCTAAAAAAAGTAAATAAATAAATATTGAATTTGTGTTAAAATGTGTTTGCAAATTTCTTAGATATACGTTTTTTTTTTTATTTAGTGCAAATAGCGTATGTGTGTGAAATTATTATTGGTATTTTTGATTTAAGTTGCAATTTCTGTTTTATTTGTATTTATTTTTTATATTAATAAATACTTGTTAGAGTTTCAATACAATCAAACCAATATTTATGTATATCTATAAACCACAAGCATCTCAGCTCATATTTAGCTCTCAGACCTTAATCAAAATCGTAATAAAATAGAGAAAAAAACCTGCGTAAACCCCCCTATGAACACCCCTCATATATTAAGCTCTCGCCTCTACAATAAAACAAAAACTCGATAATATATTTATACCTACCATAAACGAAACCATCTATCTATCGATATATATATATTTTCTTTTTCGTATATGCATAATTATTTAGATAAACATTTTTTTATGTAAACGTTTTTTCCTACTCTACTTTTTTGGGATATACGATTTGTATTTGTATATATATATATTTGATCTCATAAATATTTGCACAATTTTGATGTTTTTCTCTTTCTCTCCCTCTCTCTCTCTGTCTTTCTTTCTGTGTGGATATATATTCATGTTCACTTCAGGGCCAGATTCCTTGGTGCCAAATTATGACCATGTGGAGCGTCAACTCAAATTTTACGATATTCGAAATCCGCTTGTGCTCAGCTGCAATGTGAAAAATGTGGAGTCCGATGATCCACTCATATGGTAAGTTAGAAATATATTTTGTACACAACAGTTAAGTTTAGTAAAAATTAAAGAAAACAATTTCGTAAAATAATTTTTTATTGATAATTCAAGAAAAAATATATGAACATAATATATGATTACGTATGATTAGACACAATTCATTTGTAATAAGTTTACCGAAACAGACTACAAAATTTCGGAGAGTGTACGTCGAGCTTAGCCAATAGAAAGACAGATAGAAGGCATTCGAGCGCGTAGTCCGTCTGTTTGGTATCTCCCCAAACTCTGGCCTATGGCCTATGGCTCTGTATACTAGTTGGCAGTTATAAGAGCAATCATTTTAATACGGCACAGCTAAGCACTTTTGCTTAATTATGTTGCCCCCCTTAACCAAGCACTTGACTGACGTAACCTGGAGAGCATAACATGGGCGCCGGATGAGCGGGAGGTTGAGATGGGATGTGTGTGTGTGTGCTAGTGCTAAAAAGTGCCCGATTACAGGGAGTGGGCTTATCCGACTCAAGTTTGTATATGTGTATGCAAATATGTGTGCGTATGTATATATATATATATATATATGTGTGTGTGTGTGGGTGTGAAGGAGGCCTCGTAATGGTAATGACACTTTTTGTCGGTCGCCAGGGCCAGAAAACTTAGCTTTGCGTGCCTCACTTTGAATTAGTACTGAATAATTGGCACCAAAAGTTCTTGAACTGAATAAAAATACAGGTCTATGGAATTTTTGGCTAACAAGACAAGCTAAGATAATTATCGGTTAGAAATGAGAGTTGAAAACAGTAGTTTATAATATATAAATATATAAGAAAATATCAAAAAGTAATTATCAGAGCACAACCGAAGTAACAGTCCACAAGCAAAAAATCGATAACTCAAACTTTTGAAAATATATAAGAATATCAATATCCTAAAACAATCAACATTAAGTATCAGCAAGAGTAGTGGAAGCCCAAGATATTGTAGGGTAAGGGTTAAATATAAGCTCTTTACTACTGAAAATACAACAGTTTTAGAGTTATCGATAGTTTTGGCCAACCGGTTGGCTATAGGTCTCATTTGCTATGACTATATATATGTCAGTTCATAAAACTAAAGAGTAAACAAAAATAAACAATGAAAACAATCAATATCCATAATATAGTTACTTTGTATAATTTTTTAAGAAATTATTAATACACCGTAAAATCCTTTTGAAAGTTTATTTTTATACAGAATTATCGGTATTTTTGCTGTAACCATTTATCAATTTCGTGATTTTATACTCATTTAAAAAGGAACTAATTGCTATGTTCTCCATTTTGCATATTAAAATAGGAAAAAGGGCGGCGTCAATGTGACGGATGTCCCCTCACTGAGAGGTCGATTTAAACTTATCCATGCCGAAAGAAAGTTCATAATTGACAGAGCGGAAGCTCACGACGATGGTGACTACAGTTGTGAGTTCAAGGGTGTGTCCAAAGATATTCACGTGATTGGTAAGTAAACAAACATATAATTAACAAAAAGGTATTTATAAAAAGAATGAAAACATTTTAATAATATTAAATTCCTTTTTTTGGTCAGCTCGCATGGTCGTTCGAGTGCCTTCAAATTATGGTGTTGTAGAGGGTGAGAAAATGATGATCCCCTGCACAGTTCTCGGTAGCAATCCTCAATTGTCATGGAGCTTTGGTGAGTGATCTAAGATGATGAGAGAATCAGAGTGAATAAACAGACAGCAAAATAATATTATAAAAAGTAACTATAAGATGAACATTATGTAGATCGACGAAATGCCTTGGCATAAAGATATACAAGTTTTATATCACTTGAATTTTACATTCTATGAAGAAGCTCTATACAAACTAATATAAACTAATATACCTTTTGCTAGAAAACTCCATAATATTCTCGACTAAATCAGATACTAATTCGAATTTCTTTTCTTCTTTCCGCACAGGCAATTACACAAATATCACAAATAGCACAGATCGTTATATATTGAAAGCGGATGATAATAAAATTGAAAATGCAATTTTAATGATTGAGAACGTTACATTGGATGATAGAGGCGAATACAAATGCCATGGACGCAATGAGGCCAATGATTATGGCAATAGCACCGTTGCCACCGATGTTGCAACCGTTCGTGTTAAGGGTAAATTATAATGCTGAATTTGCTATTTTAGATATATCTATCTATCCTAATTTGTTTTTATCGTTCACTCCCAGGCAAATATGCTGCCTTGTGGCCTTTTCTTGGCATTTGTGCTGAGGTTTTGATACTTTGTGTGATCATTCTTATCTATGAGAAGAGACGCAATAAGAGCGAACTGGAAGAGAGTGATACTGATCCACAAGAACAGTAAGTTGCCAACAACAACAACAACAACAACACCAAGAAAAAAAACCCCAACAACAACAACATGAAATCAACAAACAACAACAACAAGCAGTCCACAACAAACAACACCAAATATTTTGTAACAATCTGAAATGAAGCAGCAAATTTACATTTTAGTTAATAAACTGCAAATTAAAGACGTTTGAAGCTGCATACGCAAATGCGCAACAGACACACACAACAACAATCACGACATATACATACATACACACAGACAAAAACGCACACACACACACACAAAACAGACAGACAAACACACAAACACAACAGACAGACACACACAAACACACACACATACACAAACACACACACACACATACACAAACACACAAACACACACACACACACACACACAAACACAAACACACATATACACACACACACAGACACACAAACACAACATACACAAACACAACGCACACACACAACACACAAACACAACACACACACACAAACACACACACAGAGAGAGACATAAGCAACGTACTTACACACAGACACAGCAGCAGCAGCAACAACAAATTTAGCAAAATTTTTCTTAGTTAACAAAATTAAACAAAATTATATTAATATAAAAAAAAAAAAACAAAGTATATATTTATATAATTGCAAGTATTTATAATTATATAAACGTAAATATATATATATTTTGTTGGCGCGCAAAATGCAGTTAAAACTATATAAACAAAAAACAAATAATTGTTTTTGCGTATTTTGCTTTTGTATTTTATATATATATTGCATAAGCTCAGCTTTTTGCGTGCCAAAAAAAGAAAACACGAAACTTAAACTCAATAATTAAATTTATTGTTTATGTGCTGCCTAGTTAATAACATTAAATAAACAAACAAAAAAAACACAAATATAATTTTAAACTGTGTGCTAAACGAAAAAAAAGAACATTAAAGCTAAAATTTGTGCTTTAAAGCTGACAAACCCACAAAACACAACAAATACACACACACACACAACACACACGATCATTACACATTGAGCGTAGTAGCCATATAAACACTATGTATAAATATAATTATGCAAGTATATATATGTATATATATATATTATGTATAAAGCAAAAGTATGCCTTATAAAATTTGTATTGTTTGCTGCGCTTTTTGTTAAATTTCGCTTTCTTCCTCTTCTCGCTTAAAAATTTCCTCTTTTTGGTTTATATCGAGTGCATCATTTTAAGATTTTGAATGTAAATGTAAACGATGAAAAACAAAAACAAAAACAAAACAACAGAAAAGAACATGTTATGAACTTTGCTTTTAAGTACTTATTGTTTAATTCTAATTTAAATAATTAGGCTTGAATGAAAGTGAAATTATGCAGAAAGTTGATCAATTCTATATTATCTATTGTTACTTATGTATATTATTATTATGCCTTATTATAAATGACTATCTAAGCTTAATGAAATGTTTGGCAATAAATTCTTTGTTTATAAACAATAACACGACAACAACAACATGAAACACTGCTACAATTAGTTTACAAAAAAAAAAAAAAAAAAAACGAAAAAACATCTTCATTGCAGTTTTATTGATTTCTTTTTACTTTATTTGATTGTCATTTGTTAAGCACCTATAACTAATTAGTCTGTACACACACACACACACACACACACAATCACACAGAAAAGTATTTGTTTTCTCTTTGTGCACTTTTGTTTTTATTCTTTTCAGTTTGTTTTCTATTTCTATTTCTTTTTTGTGAATAATTTGAGGTATATACTATATATATACTTATATATATATATATATATATATTTACCGCTACGTCTAGCATTATTTTTATATGATTTGTTTATGCCGTCTATTATTAATATTATAATTAAATTACATTTATGTATGTAAAAAAAAAAAACAACTTTGTGCTATTTTTTTGCTTTTAATTTCTGATATTGATTTCAAATAGATTGAATAAATACACAAACAAATAAAAAACAAATGTAAATTATAAAAAACAAAAACAATTGAAATATAAAATGCATTTTTAATCTTCACACTTTGTATATGTGTATGTTGTGTATAATTTGCCTATGTATATGTGTGTAGCTGCTATATAGCTTATGTATATAGTGATCTTCCCATGTATTGCTAAACAGTATTAATTGCAGATCAGCAAAACTCTGCATTTTCTCTCATTTTGGGAATTATCGCTTTGCTGCTGGCTTCTCTTAAAATTTTTTATAATTTTTTTTCAGTTTGATTTAGAGCTTTAATCGTCGAAATTCGTAGTGCCAAACAAAAAGAAATTTGTGTAGTTAATTAATCATGTGAAGAGCTAATCAAATTGTATTTCATTCTTTTCTTGTTTTCCTCCCCCTCCATAAAAATCGAAAAAAAAAAATACATCAAAAAAATAACAAAATTGTATTTCGTATGCCGTAGTTGATAAAATTCGCAATAAGTAAATATTTAATGCATAAGTCAATAGGTAAATGCCACAGCCTGCAGCTTGATTAATTGATTGAATGATTGAATCGATTGTTGTCGCTAATGCTAAAGCAAAAAAAAAAAAAAAGAATTAAAATCGATTCAATTCCACCTAAAATAAAAAAATATCCCAGCGTGCAGCCGTAAACAGCAACAACAACAACAACTATAACAATAATATTATTAACAAAAACCAACAACAACAACCAGTAGCCTAATATTTGTACCAGCAAAAACAACCGCAACAAAAGTTAAAAAAAAAAAAATTGAAAAATAAAATACATTTTTTAGTAATTTTTATTTTGGTCTATAAATTAAATTTTGTATTTCTTTGTTAGTTTACTTGTTATGTATTGATTGACTGATTGATTGATTGCCCATATAGTTTACTTTGACCTTCAATATGTCCTAGTGTCACATTGCGCCAATCTCTTTGACTCATATGCGATTTTTTGCCATTTGTTTTCTATATATTGCAGGAAAAAGAAAAGGAGAAATTATGATTAAAAGAAAAAAATAATTCCTAAAGACAGCTTAAAAAAACACAAAATATAAATAAATACTAAAATCGAAATATAATTGAGAACAACATAAAAAATAAATGAAAATCTGTTAAATACATCCAAGAGAAATCTCTCCCTCACACCCGAAACTTTTCAACTTTTCACAAAATATTGTATGAAAGAAGATTTTGTTTAGTCCAATTGTATTTTATTATAAACGTATTTATAAATGAACAATTTAAAAGGAAAACTTCAAGAACTTAACATTAACAAACGAAAGTGATAGCAGTTAAATAAACACTAAAAAAAAAAAAAAACAAAAATCGGAACTTAGTCACTTTAATGGAATCTATGGATAATGCGGCAGATCGAAGACAGATGAAGCCAACACCGAAAACGCAGTACTATTAATAATACTACTACTATCAGAGATGTCACACATACAAACACACACACATACGTAGCACTCTATCCGCCATTTTAGTAGGAAAACATAACAAAATATTAAACAAAAGTCCAGAAAATGTTGTACATAACCTGAAAAAAAAAAACATTTGAAACACTAATTTAGTATTTATTTAATATGTATGGATATGTCGGAGGTTTTTCATTTGTAGCTAGACTCTTTTCTGTCCTTTAGGTTTTTTAAAACAATTTTTTCGGGTTGCATCAGTTTGAGTTCTTTTGGCTGCGATCAGTATAAGGAGCAAAACCAAAACTAAAGAAAAATAAAAAAAAAAACAAAAAAAAAACTGTTGAACGAGAAATGTTAAAAATTTGTTTATTAATATTAGTTAAAGATAAAATAATAGAAAAAATGAAATGAATGAAACCAAAATTGAAAACTTTTTAAACAATTAAGTAGCGCGTTATGAATATATTTTAATAACAAAGTAAATCTAAAAAAAAAAAACATAAATGCTGTACGATTTATGATAGAGAACATAAAGAAACCTACATTGTATATTTGCATAATTTTAAACTATTACAAACCCAAACATAAACAATTACAATTAATATTAATACAAGATGCGTACTGCCAAAACTTAAAAAGTTCAGTACTAATTGCTTATACTATGTATTTTATGAATTATGAATTATGAATTATGATTGATGATTCATGATTCATGTTTGATGATTAATTCATGGCTCATGATTCATAGATGGCTTGTAATTAAAAATTAATTATGAGTTCATTATTAACATGAATTATGAACTCAGATGGGTGATTGATTAAATAATTATGATCATCGATCATGAGTCAATAATCAGGAAATTATGAATCATTAATAACGAATCCAAGCATAAATTATAAATCATCATGTATTATGATAAAGATTGACGATAGGTGATTTCTGATCAATGATCAATGGATTACATGAATTAATTATATTCAAATAAATTTTGCCTCATTTTTGTTCAACAAAACTAAAAACAAAAACACACTATTACTTATTGGTTTTTGTTAGTTGTTAACCGTGTTTTGTTTGTTTATTTTTTATTAATTTAAATTTAAATATGTATGTATGTGTATAAACATAAACGAAGTGAACAAAACAAAAAAAAAACACTTAAAAATACTAAAGCGGTCTTCAATTTTCATCTGTAACTGAAAGTGAGATATTTAATTTTGAATAATTTGTTTCTTCTAAACGTATTTATACATTTTTATTTGGGTTTTCAATTTTTTGCCGCCACCAAAGCTTTAAATATTTATATATATATATATTTAAAAAAAATATATATATATATTTATATATATATATATAAATAATGATAAAAAACCACACGAGACATTTGTATAGTAAACTTATAAATAATAATCGTTCTTGTTATATACCAAAAAATTAAATTAAAAATAAATGGATATCGATATATATAATTATCGATATACATGAATAATTAAATATAAAAATATATATAGAAACAATTAAATAGCCTAGCAAAAAATAAATAAAAACATACTTGGAAACCGTCGTAATCGTAATGCTCTATCGATCGATAAAATGACAACTGTTATCGAAAATTGAAATTTGAAAAAAATCGTAGGGGCTTTGTCTATAAGTTTTTTTATGGTACATATACATATGTACAATGTTTTGTACAGTTTGTGGCTTATTTGTGTAACGACTATATTTATAAATATATATATATGTATATGTATGCATATATATATATATATCCCGATCTACATAGTATATATGTACATATATGAGTGTATATTGTATACAAAAAACGTTTATTAAAATTCATAAATAAATTGCTTTAGTTTAATTGAACCACAATTTCCTCCCTTACATACACACCCCCATATACACTTGCATACATTGTGTATATGTATATCCTACATATATACATATACGACCTCTTGAACTGATTAAGTGAACCCACGTTGCTTTATATACAAACACGAACAACATGAACAACAGCTACGATACCTATTTACTGCTATAATGTACGACGTAATATAACCCACAAACAACAAAAACAAACAACAAAATTAAACAACTACTGAACATACTATGAACAACAATTTTGAAACAAACGTCAACTATTGCTATATATATACTATAACAAAAAACAATTACACATATATATATACATATGTATATATATATACATATATATACACTTATATACAATAAAGTACATACACAGTATTGTATGTTTCTTTTATGTTAATTTTCTATGTACAGAACAAGAACAAAGCCTGACAAAAAATAAACGAACAACAAATCGTGTATCCTATAAATCCTCAGTATATATAAACATATATTTGAAATACGATTTTCTTTAATGCCTTTATTTTTTTCGATTATTTATATTATGATTGTTATCGATAACAACAACTATAAAAACTGGCACACAATTTTAAAACTCCCGCATTAAGCGCTTCATATACAACACATAAATACAAATTATACCAAAATTAAGCTAAGCTAAACATATATGTATATATACATGTAGTATGTATGTATATGTATGTATATGAGACAAGATAATTTTAATGTAAATCTAAGCCACGTTAAAAACAACTTGGAACAACTACATATATTTCATGGTGTAGTGTGCAGAAAATCTACATAAAGTAAGCAACAAACTAAAGTTTCACCTACAATTCATTCAGTTTCAAGATACAAACAAAAATACATGCAAAATGCTACAAATATGGAATACTTAATTAGATACAACAATTATAGAGTCGAAAATATGATTGATATCTATTGCAAGCCACACGTTTTAATGACCTGTTTCCAACACTGACAGACACGATTTAACCAAAGAAAATGGGCAGCACTTATTGCATATGCGCCACAATTATAATCAATTGGCAACACTTTTTTCCAATGGAAAAACCGAAAATAAATGAAAGTAATCATTCTTTGATCTAGGTAGAGCTCCGCAAACCAAGTATAAATTATTATTTGCATACCATTTTCTTCTTTTTATTTAAACTGTAGCATAAATTAGTATATATATTGAATACATAAATTTAGAGAAAACAAAAAATGCCTTAGGGTTTCAGTAGGAATACAAAGATGAACAGCAATGAACCTAAAACTCTTTAAATGCCCAAGAAATAGTTTATTAACAAATAAAATATTTATATGAATGAAAAAGAAATCAGAAACAAAAACGTGTGGCTTGCTTTCAGACAAGCATAAATACATAGTTGTGTAATCTATTTGTATGAAATACTCTATAAACCAGTTAGAAATACGGGTAAAAAAACATCAATAACATAGAAGCAGCAACATTTATTATTATTTGTAAAACAAATAAAATCCCGACGGTCAGCCAAAAGTAAATGAGAAAAGTAAAAAAACTTTTGTACACTTTAAAAGGAAGCTGAAGAGAGCGAGAGAGAAAGTACGAGAGACGGAGAGAGCTGCAGAGTTGAATCAATCAAGTGCCCCTACATAAAAAGTGGAATATATAAACACACACACAGACACACGATAGCTAGCCTATAGAATATCTGGCAGAAGTGTTTATACATACATATATACATATATATATATATAGTTTTTTTTTATTTATTTTTGGCTGTTCGGTTTAAGCTGGCAGCAAATATATTGACAAATCCAGGCGTCTTCAACTAGGAAAATACTAACTAAACGCTAATCACAACAACAACCACTATGAACTATGAACTATGATTTTTTTAGCAATACAATATAGTTCTACATATATATATATATATATATATATATATATATATATATATATATATATAT